ACCTTTAACTTGGAGAAGCAGAACCATACTCCAAGGAAGCACCATCAACATCACCACCAGCAGCACCATCAGCAGCAGCAGCAGCAGCAGCAGCAACAACCACCCCCACCAATACCTGCAAATGGACAGCAGGCCAGCAGCCAGAGTAAGTAAATTGTGAGTGATGGAACATAAATAGGTTCCATCAAGAACAGTTTCATCATGGTTTTTAGGATATTAGGTAAATAGGGCTTTAGTGGCATACTTTTTACTTTTTTCCTGATTTTGTCAAGACATGCTTTCTCTAACAGCTCTGGCAGTCCTGGAACTAACTGTAGACTAGGCTGGCCTCTGCCTTCCTGAGTCCCAGGATTAAAGGACTCACCACCACTGCCTGGCTTTTTTTTTTTCCCAGGTAGGGTCTCATCATGCAGCCCTTGACTGCTGGCTTAGAATTTGCCTCTGCATCCCTCCGGGATATGGGAATGTGTCCTGTTCTGTTTTGTTCTGTGTGTATTTTTTAAACAACATTTTAAAAATTATTTCTATTTTATGTGTATTGATGTTGTGTGAGGGTGTCCGATCCCCTGGAACTGGAGTTACAAAGAGTTGCGAGCTGCCATATGGGTGCTGGGAATTGAAACTGGCTTCTCTTAAGCACTGAGCCATCTCTCCAGCTTCCTGTTTTTGTTTTTAAAATAAGATTTAATTTATGTGTATGAATGTTTTGTTATTTGTATCTAGTGCTCATGGAGGTCAAAAGAGAGCATTGGATCTTCTGAGTTTTTTTTTTTAAGGTGGTTGTCAGCTGCCACTTTGGTGGGAATCAAACCTGTTTCCTCTGGAAGAATAATAAGTGGTCTTAACTGCCGAGCCAACTTTCTAAGCTTTTCCTATTTGGTTCTTAAGTGGTATTTTATGATAGAAGGGGGTTGATCACCTGAAACAAAGAAACAGACATCAGTAGAGTATATGTTATACTGTTATTGGCATGTTCTACTGACAAACAAATGTCTGTCTGTGTGTAGTTTGGGTCTTAGAGATAGCCATCACAATATAGGGAAAAATTTAAGACTTAATACTATAATAAGACTTAGTTTCTGGTCTATATCCCCAGGCTATTTTTAATCTGTTAAAAAGTCTTTGTATGTTCTCGTTCCTTTAGGAATCTGAGTACCTATAAGAATATAAACCTGGCTGGGCAGTGGTGGCGGACACCTTTAATCCCAGCAGAGGCAGGTGGATCTCTGTGAGTTCAAGGCCAGCCTGGTCTACAAGAGCTAGTTCCAGGACAGGCTCCAAAACCACAGAGAAACTGTCTCAAAAAACCCCCCAAAAAAAAAAAAAAAGAAGAAGAAGAAAAGAAGAGAAACCCAGTAGTATGGGGGTGACTAGAGAAATGATTAATTTTGCTTTCAGAGGCCTTGAGTTAGGTTCCTGGCACCTGCATAAGGTATCTTAGTACCAACTGTAACTCCCAGGAAATCCAGCATCCTTTTCTGACTTCATGGGGGCCCATACACACATGGAACATAGTCACACTTACACACACAAAGTAATTTTTTGAAAGGCAATAGAAGTAGAGGCTGATGAGGTGGCTCAGTAGTTAATTAAGAGCTGAGCCTGTACTACTCTTAGAAAAGATCTAGGTTCCATTCTGGGTACCCATATCAGGTGGGTCACAACCACCTGTAACTAACTTGAGTTCCAGGGATCTGCATATAAACTCATCCAGGCAGACATAAATACACATCTGTTGTTTGTTTGTTTGTTTTTGAGACAGGGTTTTTCTGTGTTAACAGCCCTTCCTGTCCTGGAACTCGCTCTGTAGACCAGGCTAGGCCTCAAACTCTCAGAAATCTGCCTCCCTCTGCCTTCTGAGTGCTGGGATCTAAGGTGTGTATCACAACTGCTGCTTTCACTTTCTAAAATGCCATTTACTGATGGATTGGATAGGATGCATTTGCAAGTGGTGTTTGTCTTCATCACAAAAGCAATGCTGAGGATATGACTAATTCTTTTCCTAATCTTTTGATTACTGTCTTCCAGATGAAGGTTTAACCATTGACCTAAAGAACTTTAGGAAACCAGGAGAGAAGACTTTCACCCAACGAAGCCGTCTCTTTGTGGGCAATCTTCCTCCTGACATTACTGAGGAGGAAATGAGGAAGCTTTTTGAGAAATATGGGAAAGCAGGCGAGGTTTTCATTCATAAGGATAAAGGCTTTGGCTTTATTCGCTTGGTAAGATTATTTTCCCTTAGGCTTGAAGGCCAATGTAGGTTTATTTGCCTTGTACACAAAGACTAAAGTATGGGGGTTATTTTTGGTTGCAGATCTCATTATGTAACCCCAGGGTTTCCTTGAACTCAAAGGGTTCCTATGTCTACTTCCCAAGTGCTGGATGACACACGTGTTTGCACCACCATGCTTGGGTTAAGTGAAAATGAAGTTTGTTTTAGTGATTATCAAGGTTTATATTATTCCCAAAATCCTTGTAAGACATGTATTGTCTTACTCTTAAAAACCCTGAGGGGTTCAAAATCTTTTACTATTAGGCAAGTGGATATGCATTTTCTTTCTGAGGGAGACAGTTGAATCAAATGCAGACTCTGATATTAGATAAGTGTGCTGCTGCTCAGTGGTGCTCTCAGTTCTGCCAATGTTTTGTGCAGATTTTATGTTTAAATCTGGCCAGAATTAAAGGCATGTGCCACCATACCCACCATTTCATCTCTGTTAAATTCTAATTTTCTTGTTTTTCCCAGGAAACACGAACCCTAGCGGAAATTGCCAAAGTGGAGTTGGATAATATGCCACTCCGTGGAAAGCAGCTACGTGTGCGCTTTGCCTGTCATAGTGCATCTCTTACAGTCCGCAACCTTCCTCAGTATGTGTCCAACGAACTGCTGGAAGAAGCCTTTTCTGTGTTTGGCCAGGTGGAGAGGGCTGTGGTCATTGTAGATGACCGAGGAAGGCCCTCAGGGAAAGGCATTGTTGAGTTCTCAGGGAAGCCAGCTGCTCGGAAAGCTCTGGACAGATGCAGTGAAGGCTCCTTCTTGCTAACCACATTTCCTCGGCCTGTGACTGTGGAACCTATGGACCAGTTAGATGATGATGAGGGACTTCCAGAGAAGCTGGTTATAAAAAACCAGCAATTTCACAAGGAGCGAGAACAGCCACCCAGATTTGCACAGCCAGGGTCCTTTGAGTATGAGCATGCCATGCGCTGGAAGGCACTCATTGAGATGGAGAAGCAACAGCAGGATCAAGTGGACCGCAACACCAAGGAGGCTCGTGAGAAGCTGGAGATGGAGATGGAGGCAGCACGCCGTGAGCACCAGGTTATGCTAATGAGGCAGGATTTGATGAGGCGTCAAGAAGAGCTTCGGAGAATGGAGGAGCTGCATAACCAAGAAGTTCAGAAACGAAAGCAGCTAGAGCTCAGGCAGGAGGAGGAACGCAGGCGCCGTGAGGAAGAA